TATGTATATTACAATTCAATCACATCATTGTTATGGCCAGTCTTCGTTCCTAATCATTTAGGGCTTATCGTTTGTAAAGTAGTCCAAAACAATTTTTATACATAGAAGTACAACAACAACAAATGCTATTTATAATATTTTTTTGTCCAAATCGTCTCTGACAAATTTTTCAGAATGATGAAAGGATAAATAAATAAATAAATAATGAATTAATTATCAAATTTATTGTCAACCAGATTAGTTTTGCCAAAGATTTTGGAAATTATACATACAGGGGAAATTATTGGTTGATAATTATCTAATGTGGCATTGATATGATGAGATAACATAATTGTTTACGTGGAAAAATCCTAGATAGGGAAAAAACCTAGGGCCTAATCTTTTCAAAGTAATCTACTTTGTGTTTATAAGTATATTTGTTCACTTTTCTCATGAACTAGAGATGATGGAATGCCAAATATGATAATCACAAATGTACAATAGTAGTTAAAAAAAATAGACATAATTAATCTGCAACAAATGTTGTTCTCGACTAAAATAACAATAATTAGTCACCAATTTCATAGTTGGCTACATGCCATAATTCATAACTGCAAGGTGTCATAGTGGGATGTTGCGGCAGTAACAAGTCTCATAGGGCGTAGTTGGACGCTACAATAACAATTAGCCACACAACCATTTTAAAACTTGAATAGCAATTAGCTATATATGCTATAATTGGTAGTTGCAGAAGTGTTACTCCATTTCGATCTTCTATCAAGTCCTTCTAACTAAATTACCTACATTATCCAAGTTCCCATTTCACACTTATAAGAGTTGGTTGAACATTCTCATCAAACTCACTTACAACTATCTAGTTACAACACTGAGCTTGGCAAGCAGCTCTCCATTGTAGAGGTAAGAGTCTTTTTATCTTTCAATATACATACCCTCATTTATTAATAGTATGACAATCCACACTAGCACTCTTATCAACAACGAGTCTGCTTAGATTCTATACCATATAACCTATAATTGAATTCTATGATTATTTTCTATACCCTTGGGTAGTTACATAGGCTCCGAAATATAATAAATAAGAAGAAATGAGAGAGAAGAGGAGACTCTCTTTTTTACCCTCTCTCAATCATGCACACCCAAAAAAAACTCTCTAATAATCTCACATTTTTTTCTCTATCAAATTATACAGCTTCATAACTTATAAAGATCTCACATCGCAAAAAGATTCTACATATATAATACTTTCATTTGAATAATTTTCCTATTTAGTAAAGGTTCTTAAGCATAAATATTGTCTAGAATTAAGTTAGTATTATTGTTCTCATCAAAAAACTAATAATGAGCGTAAATCGTATGAGATATTTTCCGTTATCAGTAACTTAACGTCATCCACTTCGATTTAAGGCCTTGAGCCAGCCGTTCAGTCTCATTCTTCCATGCTCTCTCTTCCCAGCTTCCCCCGTAAGCAATCAAATCGCATTCCGAAATTCTTCGTAACAGTAAGACTCCCCCCTCACCCCTCTCCCTCCGATCTTCATCTAACTTTCAAACTGCCGAGCAATTTGATCCGATTCTCAATCTAATTCGCTTTCAATTTCAGATCCCGCCCCGATTCCTTCTAGATCTGACCTCGATCCATCAAAGATGGGGCTCTCAAGCCTTCCAACTCCATCTGAATCAGTCCTGGCTCTCCTACTCGTGAACACAGCTCTCACCATCTCGATCCTTAAAGAAATCTTCCG